CTTGTGAGTAATTTCTATCAGAAACTGATCGGTATCTTTATGTGCGCTATGTGAAAAAAAATCCGGAAAAATCCACGTGGCAGCTCGCTGTTCAAGAAAGAACCTATGACTAGGCCAGCTTGACCATTGGTGGAGACATCTTAATGGTTCCGATTTATGCTTATAACTTTGATGCAAGTCGAAAGTACTGTATATTGCAAGACACCTGTACAATAAAATAGATTCCTGTTGTTCAGGGCAACATTAATGTTTATGTGTTAATCTCGAAAAAATGTTCGGTTAACACATAAATATTACACTTTTAATGACTCAAATATATGGCATTTTATAATAAATACAAATAACCCGATAATTCTTTCAAATATTAAACAAAGAGCTAAATTCGTTTATTGGGCTATTAATGGTAAAAATTACTAAGCAATTTGGTAGGAGGTATGACTCCGGGCCGCCTATTACGTTTAACAAGAAATGGCGGTCTTGCAGCCTGCCACCTGCCAAATTACCTAGTAAATATTTAGCTTTAATTGCAAATAGAGAAATATAACTGTTCGTATGATTTGTGGCTTTCTCCGTATATTTTAAAATATCTGTGTCCGGCCTTTATATAATTTAATACATTTTTATTAGACCCACAATATCATGATTCATAGTAAATACACTTTAAATCAATTATTAAATTTACTTACACAAACCAATTTTAAATACGCAATCTTGAATATCAAGGGGATAACGATGTAAATCCACAGGGCATGCCACACGAAAGCTATATCTATTGCAAAACCTTGCAGTCTTTGTGACACTCAACGTGAAGAGTGATTTCATCTATGATTTCTCCTTCAAGTCTGAATCTTTTCGCATTTTGAGAACTAATTATGCATTTTTTTCCATGCCCATCTTGATTCCAACACACCCTTATTTTAGGTATGGCCGAAGAACCCTATTGTGTCTGGTATGGATGAAAAATCCCATGAAGTTGTCCCCATTAGCGATTGGCACCGCAATAGATAATAACGGAAGAAGCCTGATATATTTGGAATGGGTCACCCAGTAATACTTTTGAAATTACTTGTCCGAAATAGATCCTGGGTGCCCCGCAGCAGAAGGCTGATACTTTGACTGATTCGGCTATTATTGATAGGTGCACTCTGATTAAAAATCACCTGACAGAGAAAAGCGGTAACAAAATCTTTAATTCGCAGAGTGAAAATTGTTTGCGTATTAAATACAACTATTAGAAATTAAATATTTAAAATATCGTGACAAGAAAGAAGCATTGATTAATTTTAAGCTTTATTTTAAAGTATGTTTAATACTTCGTGCATTTTATGCAAAATAAAATTAAAATTTCTAACCGATTTCTCTGCAAATTAATTAAATAGACAAACATCGAATCAAAAATTTTAAATATATTTAAATAATTCAAAGTGTTTTCTCCTGGATGCTCAAAAAAAATCCGAAACTCTGAAATTCCATCCCACATCAACCAGAACGTTAGGCTCATGACTTCAGCTCTGGTTGATACAGGATCGAATCCGAACAGGCAATCGTAAGAATTATTTAGGAAACGGTCCTTCAGGATACGTAGGCCCAGTTTCTCATCATTGTGGGCTTTACCTAATCCATGATAAAACTCTCTAACGCTCTTAAGCTGGAAAAAATTATTAAAATGTCACTAAAATTAATAAATAATTTTATATTATACATTTGAACTTATACTATCATATCTGAATAACTGAAATATTAGTTTAGTATCTTGTTATTGTGTTTTTGCTTAATTTATCACAAAGACTTATATTATCTTTTTCTTCTGTTTAGTCTTTTGCTTTTTCTATGCCTTATATGGAAAGAATACTTGTTATAATCAATAACTGTTATAATAAATCTGACTTTTCTCTTTTTTATCATGTATTTTTATAGAAATTTTCTAAATATATGATCAATTAAACGCTTATTATTTCAGATTACAGTACTTTCATTCATATAAAAATTATACGTAATGTGATAATATAAATTTAAGAAACAGGTAAAAAAAAATACTTGTTAAAGGAATAAAAGTATTCTCAACTAATAAGCGTTTAATTAATTGATTATATAGTTAAAAAATTTTTATAAAAATACATGACAAAGGAGAGAAGAGTCAGATTTATACTTAAGTATATATAAACTATAACACTTCAGAGGTTCTTCCTTTCTTTCCTCCTCCCTCTTAAATATAATTAAGTACTTGCCTCAAACACAATTCATTTACTATTAGAATAAACTAAATTTGATAGATGATAATCATCTCTTTGTTCTTTCTATTGTCTAGAACAAAAGACAATAATGCCGTGCATTCGTGTGGAAACGCACGATATCTGTATTGTTCAAGTGTCCAGCCATTGACAGCAGCGCGATTTTAAACACGAGACATANTTAAAATATCGTGACAAGAGGGAAGCATTGATTAATTATAAGCTTCGTTTTAAAGTATGTTAAATACTTCGTGCATTTTATGCGAAATAAAATTGAAA